CCCCCACCCGGGGCCACCCAGAAAAGAGAACAGAGCCAGCTCACGTTTGCACAGATTTAATACCTGCTATTCTGGTCCCCAAATCCAAAGCCCTCTCCAGGCCACACGTCCCTTCTCCTGGACACCCAAGGCCAAGTCGTCCACCACGTCCCTCCCTACCAGGATGTCTGAGCAGGAGTCAGTCCCCCAGGGGCTGCTCTGTCCCCACCTTGACTCTCGTTGAAGAAGGACACATGACCTTGGTCTGTCCTTGATCGGGCCCCGTTCAGCAGAGGCAAAGCAGGGAGAAGGGAGAGGGGAGATCAGGGGACCATCCGGGGCTGCAGCAACCGGGACAGGAGTAGGAGCCATGTGGCACTGTGGGGGCCTGGGAGAGCCCCACTGCTCATTTGCTTATTGATCCATTTGCTGTATTTGGTGACTCGGGTGTACACGCCTGGATTCTGTACTTCGGCACAGGCCTTTTCCCAGGACAATATCCCAGCCAGAATCCATCCATCCTCGACTTCACAAGCCAGTGGACCCCCAGAATCACCCTAGGCAAAGAGAGAGGAGTGACGGAGGCTCAGGGTGCAGCCGGGACCCAGAACATCCACCCTCTGAGTTCCGCTTGGAAGGGTCTTGCATTCTTTGAGGACAGCTGGGACCCCATCCCGGAACATTAGGCAAAATCGAAGACTCAGGAGAAAAAACATGGGAGCAGAGCAAGGCCTGGCAATGGTGACAAAGGGGAAGGCCAAGCAAACCCCTCCCCAGGGAACCGTCCCCCAACCCGGGAGTCCCCAACAGAAGGAGAGCTGCAAGAACCTCCTCGAAACTCACATAGCACAGGTTTTCTCCATAATTGGTGGCACAGATCATGTCCCCAAGGACAAGAGGGACGATGCGGAGGATGCGGGACTTCTTGCGGTAAATCTGGTCACACTTATTGTTGTCCATAATGAACACCTCGGCCTCCTGCAGCTCTGGCGTCAGCGTGGAGTTAGCTGTGGAGGAGGCCAGCGGGGAGAACTGACCCCTTACCCGACTCGGCCCTAGCCTCTCCCTGGCGTCTTGTCACCTTGATCCTGAGAGTCAGCAAAGCCCCGCCCCTCCACGCCTCCACGCCCTTTTCACGTGGCCCTTCCCCCTGCTCTGTGGACCACGTCTGGCAAGCCCCTCGGTCCCTACGGCTGTGCTTCGGGGACCCCTTTCTCTGAGAAGCTTCTCCTTCTGAAACAAGCAGCCCACAATCCAAGCTGCAACACAAACACTTACGAATCGAGACCCCAACCACACAGAGCTGCTCTCCAGCCTCTGAGCGCCGCAGTGGCTGCGCCCTCGGCCACCTGGGCAACAGTCAGCCTCCCACAGGCAGCTCAGGCAGACTCTGCTCCGACAGCATCTCCCAGATCCTCCTGGCTGATCTCGAGATCATCTGAAAAGTGTCCGCCTCTCCCCCTGTCAGCCTGCGCCCCACCCACTCAGGCGGAGCTCCCTGCAGGCAGGGCACGTGTTCCCCATGACAAGGGTTCGGCGTGTGGAAGAAGTCTGTCCAGTGGACAAATTTATGAATTCCCGACTCTGAGCTTCCATGATGCAAACGGTCATGCTCAGCCCAGTTATGGCCAGGCTGGGGTGAGGTGCCCGTGGCAGGCACAACGGTGTGAACCAGACATGAGCAGTCCTAACACACCCAAGCACCAGGGGGCAGAGGTAACAGCTGCCAGCTTCCCAAGAAGCACGTGAAAGAACTGGCAGACTCTGCACCCCACCCCACCCCAGCACCGCCCCCCACCTCTATCCCATCCTGCTCACCTGAGAAGCGCTGCTTAACCTGGCCCCAGCCGGTCACCCAGCACTGCGTCCCCACCTTCAGGTGGTAGGTGGGCTCTGGGAGGCAGATGGGCTGCACGTACTTGCTGAAGATGGCAGGGGTGTGAAGCTGGAGCAGGGCGATATCGCCCATGGTGAAGGTCCGGCCCCAGAACCTGGGGTGCATAATGATGTCCTTCACACGGATCGAGATAGTCTTCTTGGGGTCCGCAGGCTTCAGCTTGGAGGTGCCAAGAATCACCGAGTACTCTTTGGTGCTATGGGAGACACGGAGCCCACCTGGTAGATGTCAGGGTCCCCAGAAACGCTATGCCCCTTTCTCCACCAAGGACCCTCTCCCTCAGCAGATGTCCTGCCTGATTTGCTCTGCTGGCTCAACCTGCTAATCCAGCCGGGGGCCCTCAGGGTCGGAGCTAAGACTATCCCCTCACTCATCATTCAAGTTGATTCGAGGTAGCCTGGTCTCTGTGTTGTGTATGCAGGCGTGCAGGTGTTGGTCTACATACATGTTCTCATGCGTGTGAGGGGTGGGCGCTCGGTACTGAGGCTGCCTACTGCTTGGGAGTCCCGCCCCAGCTCAGTCCCTGGGCCCTGTGAGGGCTGATGAGCATGACTCCCCTGTTCTAGGCATCCTTCCCACGCTTCCTACCTCCCCCACTCCCACTTAGCTTCACGAGGGACACGGGGAGGCTGGGCTGGGCCCGTTGCAGCCCTGGCACTCCAGGCCCTGACACGTGGGCCACACTCACCCTTGGATGCAGTGGGCAGCAGTCACCACCCAGCTGAGGTCAATGAGCGCCCCTCCACACACATGCTCATTCTCCAGTCGGAGGCTCACCTCCCAGGGCCAATGGCGGGTCATGTCCACATCCTCCGACCACCAGGGTTTCCCACAAGCTTCAGGGACAAGTGTGCCAGGGAGACACAGCGGCCACATAGAGGAGAATAAGAATGACTGAGACCAAGATGCCCCTGGGGCAACCTGTACAGGGCTACGAACTCGGGGTCTCGTTCCCGTTTCAAAGAGGGGCTGACTGAGGGGGCAACAAGGACAGTGACCTGCCCAAAGGCACTGAGCTAGGCCAGAAATGACAATGACAGAGATTTTTTAAAAATCAGTAGAGACATCACAGGAGGAGAGAGAGGCACTGAGACGCACAGGGAGCGGGGAGCAGTCAGCACAGAACCTCACTTTCTTGTGTCTGGGTAAGTCCCTAGGCCATGCTCCTGAAGGCTGTAATGCTGACTGCACCTCTTAGAGGCCCACACTGCTCAGAGTCAAGGAAAGCTCCAGATTTGTGTGTCGGAAGTCTTATACGGGCCACTGGAGCCCGCTGAGGCCGCCTGCTCACTCCTAGTGTGCACACTCCAACCCCCTTAGTTCTTAGTTCCAACAATCAAGTTGCACGACTGTATGGATGAACACAGATGCAGACGGTACCAATGAAGTATCAGCCAAAAGGAGTGTGCCGTGATCACGTGGAGATTGTCCCAAGAGTGTAAGGGTGGTCCCACAACGGAGGAGCCCTCCGTGTGTTCTCCACATAAACAATTCTTTTTCTCGACAGAGAGAAAGATCATGTGCTTTGCTCAATACGCAAAAGAAAAGGCATTTGAAAAATTCAACACATAGCTATGACCAAAACAAAAGACAAAACAAAAAAAAAAAAACAAAAACCCTCTTACTTAGCAAACTAGGAATGAAAAGGGAACCCTTAACTTTATAAAAGTTATAGGCCACAAACTTACAGCAAACATCATATAACGCGAGGAACGGGTAAAAATAACCTAGACTGTCAGAAGCGAGGAATGGGTACGTCATGGGAGGAGGACATAGGAAGCAACTGAGAAAGCAGTCTAGGGGCCGGCGTGGTTCTGCCTCTTGTGTGTTACTTACCTGGGTGGTGACTGCACAGGTGTGTTCACTGTGTGATAATTTCTTGAGCTGAACTGACATTTTGTGCACTTTGTGTGTGTATATAATACTTCAACAATTTACTTTTAAAGTCAATAATATTTCTCTACGCCAGCACTACCAACTAGAAAATATATTCAAAATCAGACATATTTTCCATTGCAAGAAATTAACAAGTACAAAGGAATTAACTTATCGACACTATGCAAGAGTTCTGTGGCAATACATTTAAAATTCTCATTAAGGACACTGAAAATGACTGCCATAAATGAAGAGACATCCCTTGCTATTAAATAGAACTAAATATTTCAGATGTGATTTTCCCAAATTAATCTATAAAGTCACTTTCCAAGTTAGAATGTTTGAAAGAAATTTAATAAGCTTATTCTAAAACGAAAATAGAAAAACAATGATCCGCGAATAGATCGGTCTTTGAAAAAGTACAGCAAAGAAGGGACACTTGCCCTAGCAGATATTAAGATACGCGTCAAAGCCCTAAGAACAAAAACAGTGCGATGCTGACAAGGACAGACAAATGGACCGAAGGAAAAGAATAGAGAACTTGAGAGGTTGTCTCATGGAATACAGGAACTTAATGAATAAAGGCAGGAGCCTCCATAATTGGCGGGCAAAGGATAGCTCGTTGAGCAGAGACAGGATGGTGCTGGGAAAACTGGCTCACTATAGAAGGAAAAGCTGGATTCCCTTCCCAGAGCACCGTGGCACCATAATCACAAAAGGTTAAACCGTGACGTTAGCAGCAGACCACGTAACATGGCGTGGGAAAGGACTCCTAAGACCAAACTCAAAACACACACCAGGAAGCGTTCACCTGATGGCTGTAATTACATCAAAATCAAGGATTCCTGACCCCAGGAACAAAGCTCACAGACAGATGGCAGGTTGGAAGGCAATATTAGCAATATCTAAAATCAATACAAGACTCTTATTAGGAATATACAAGTAACTCTAGGAAATCAACAAGAAAGAAGAGCAATAGACAAGGGACAAAGGATGAGGACGGCCAACTTATTACAAGAAGAAACTCGAGAGGCCAACGGCACATTAGGACACGCGCAAACTCATCAGTAACGAGAAAAATGTCAATTAAATCAAGAAGTTATTTTTTTTTTTTACCTATTAGATTAGCAAAAAAATGTAAAAGCTGGATGGCGTCAAGGGTTGGTAGGTTTGAGCAATATATACACCTTCGCTGATTGCTGGCAGGGATCACAGAACTGACCAAACTGGAACATGGACAGTAGATAAAAGGACAGACAGCATCGATGTAAATTTTTGGAGTTGGTAAGTGCACTGTGACTATCTCAGAGAATATTCACAGAAAATACACACCAAAGTATTTAGAGATAAAGGACCATGCTGTGTGTTACCCTCAACTAATTCTGAAAAAATGACGTATGTGTATATTTGCCATAATCACAAAGACATTGTCCTTGTACTGTAGTATTTTCGCGGTGTTTTGTAAGTTTAAAATTATTTCAAAATAAACTGGTTTTTTTTTTTCTTAAATCTAGGGCTGAATGAAAAGAAAACAGAGATTTAGTGCATATACTATTTGTGTAAGCTAAAAAGATATAGACCCAAAACTGCAATACGTATTTTTACAAGAACACACCAACAGAGAGATACACACTGAACGTATAAAAAAGGTTGGGAAGAGGGGAAAGAGAGGGAACAGGAGCGGGGCATGGACATAAGCTGAATAACTAACTTAATCTATGGATGGAACAATACTTAACAAATCAGGGTGTGCCCATGACAACAGAGGCCCGTAACAAGCAGGATCAACCCATCCTCCACCCTTGAGGTCGAAGGAAAAAGACAGGAAGACCCAGCAGAGCCAGGCTCCGCAGGCACTGCCACAGGGCCCTGGAGGCTCTACTTGCAACATAACAGTTTAGAGCCCCAAAGAAACTGTGTAGAAAAGGGTCTGCATCAGCTTCCTGGACAGGGCTCCCGCTCGGATGCAGCCTGCACGGATTCAGAGAGGCTCTGCATTCCCATGGGAGGCCCAGCCGCTCTTTCCTCTGCACCGTTAGGTCTGTATGTCCTGGCGGCCACAGGCTGGACTTTAGAAAGCAAGCCCTTGACACTAAATTCCTGTTTCCAACGGATCCGGAAACCCTGCCCTTTTCAGAACACACCCTCCCAGGAGCTGAGGCTTTCCTGCGGCAGGGGTGTACCCTACCCACCTGGTTTGGCACTGTCTTCTTTGTAACCTGGAGGAGAAAAGAGAGACAGAGATGAAGCGAGAGGTCATGACAGGATGACAGTGAAGAGATGCGTTTTCATCAAGGAGTTCATTCATTCCTTCACCAAATATTTTCTAATATGCCTACAGCCCGGAGCTGGTGAGGACAGCGGTGTATCAGACAGACACACGCTGTACTTGCCCTTGAGGAACACACTGTCCAGCAGGGGAGACAGAAGTAAACCCACAATCATGTGAGATCAATGCGGGGACAAAGCCACAGGTGTCAGGTGAGCCCAGAAGAAGTGGTGGACAGAGAGGCCTCTAGGAAGAGGGGTGATTGTGCCAAGTCTTAAAGATGAGAAGGTAAAACAGAAATGAGATGTGACAATGACGTTCCTTGCAAAAGAAGCATCATGGTGTGTGCCTGAGGCAATGGAAGATTAAGGGCAAGGCCCACGATGGCAAGAAATGATGCTAGGGGAGCAGAGTCGGGGGTCAATCATGACAGGCCTCATAAGCCAGGCCACGAAGCCTAGGGAAGGCCTGCTGGGAGGCAGGAGGCCCGTGGAGGTGAGGCATGGGGAATCGACGGGACGGTGACAAGACTGAAGCCAGTGAGGCTCTGCAGAAACCAGGCGAGAGATGACGTCTGAATGAGGAAGCGGCAGCGAGGGCACACATGGCAAGCTGGAGGCGGGGGAAGATGGCTGAGTCTAGGGTGACCCCTCTACCTCCCGCCCCATCCCCCCAACCTCCCATTTATGATTTTAGAGATGAGTGGCTGCTATCCACTGAGTCAGAGGACGGAGTAAGAGAACCAGTCTGTAGGAAGACGAAGGCCTCAGGTTCAGCCCCCAGGCGGTTGAGATGTTTCTAGGTCATTCAGGTGGAGGTGTCAAGCAGGTGGATGTGCGCCCAGACAGGTGGTTTTGGTGAGGCAGCGTCACATAAATGGCAGCTCACTGCCCCAGGGCAAATGCGTTCACCCAGGGAGCAGCAAAGAGGGGACCCAGAACGCACCTTAGGGAACACCAATCTGTCATGGACGAACAGAGCATGGGTGGCTGGGAGGGACACAGAAGAACAAGGGAGTTACCCTGAGGGAGAGCGGAATCTGGAGAGAAGCCTGCAGACTACAGACAATGGAAAAGGAGGGGGCAGGAAGAAGGTTGGGACAGTAAGGCAGAGCCGTGCCAGGAATCGGCTAAGGATGAAGGGAGGACTGGAGGGCGGCATGAAAACTCTCACTCTGAGAAGCCCAGCAGTGAGGGCAGAGAGGCAGAGAAGAAACACAGCAAACAGAAAGGGCGAGGCTACAGGTCCGTGGGGGGTGGCAGAGGAAGCACACACAGGCAGGGCTGCAGACCCGTGCCGGAAGCAGGCGGGCCCGGAACAGGGGACTTGTCTGTGACTCCTAAAGAAATGAGCGAGGATGGTGGTGAGTAGCCAGGTTTGGAAGGGCCTCTGGGGGCTGGCAGGAGTCAAGGGAGATGGCAGCTCCAGGCCTGTGTTCACCGAGTGAACGAAGCAGCTTCTAGTGCGGTGCACTGGGTTGGAATAGAGAGTCTGGAGAGAAGGTGAATTTTGGAATATTCTTAAAGTAGGTGGGGACCACCAATTTTCTCCGGATTGGAGGCACGCCCCAGGGGGTATCTCCAGTGGTGTCCAGGTCCCTGGGAAGTTCAGAGAGCCAGGGGTAGGGGATAGAGCGCTGGAGGCTTGAGGATGCTGTCAAGAGGGTTGGGGTCCTAGCCACGAGGTCCACACTGACAGGGGAAGGAAATGGCTGACCAGCTAGGAGAAAAGCCAGGAATCCCCAGGAGGCTGTGGGGCAGGTGGGGCTTGAGGCAGGAGGCCAGAGAGGGCAGGGATTTGGTACCCCTGGAGCGGCCCTGGTGAGATCCTGGGAGCAGGTAGTAGAGGCCAGGTGGCTGCGGGGTGAGTAGGTCACAAGGTCCCAGATGGGCAGAACAAAGAGCCACGTCCTGGGGTCGGCCCCTGTCCCTGCGCCGAATGTTGGAAGGTTGCGGGTTGCAGGGGGAGGCGGAGGGGGTTGGGGAAGAAGGCGGAAGAACAGGCCCTGCGATGGCACCGCCTCACCCAGGTTGTGCAGCGGCGGCGGCAGCAGCAGCAGCAGCAGCAGCATCAAGAAGCTGCGGCTCAGACCCCAGAGCCTCGAGGCTCCAGGCCCACCGCCGAGGCCGGACAGCGAGGCAGCCATGAGGACCTGAGGACCGCGAGGTGCCACCTGGCGGCGACCGAGACGCGAAGGCGCGGGGATGCGTGACGGTGCCGCCAGCACGTGACCGGACGGAGTTCCAGGCACGTGACGCCCCTCCGCGCACGATTGCGTGCACGGCACGTGATTGGCGACCCTGGAGCCCCAAACGCGCGCGCCCCTGCGCCCTCCCCTCAGTGCCTGTTCCTGGCAGGTGACCTTGGAGCCCTTCCACGCCGCCAGCCCCATGAAAGCACCCCCAAGGGCCCTAAATTGGTGACAGTGCCCCCCAGAACCAGGCCCGTGAAAGTATACCCAAACTCCTGGACCAGAGGTGGCACCTTGTCACCCAGCCTCTGACAATAACGCCCTTGCTCCCCCGAGCAAAGATAGGGACTAAGGGAAGCTGTCTTAGAGAAGGTGACATTTGGGCTGAACCTCAGATTTGAATGAAGAAGTCCTCCTCTTCCACAGCCCGCTAACCGGATGGCGCAACTGAAAGAGATGGTGGCATATGCCAGGCCCCCGGCTGTCACAGGGCATCTGTGCAGGATGCTGTTTTTGGATCTGCTGGTGTGGCAGAGATTGGGAGATGACCACCAAGATTCCTGCTTCTCTCGTCCAGTGCGGGGGTCCAGCTCTGGGGACCACATTCCGCAGCCTGGCATCTAAGGGGGTTCACACGAGTTCCCACCAATAGGAAGTGAGTAGAGGTGATGTGTGCCCAGGCACTGAAGAGGAGGTGCCTTCTGCACTCCTGTTCTGCAGAGCAGTGGTTGTCAGAGCATGGCACCCGGAGCAGCTACAGCATCACCTGGCAACTTGGTAGAGATGTACGGTCTCAGGTCCCACCCCAGACCTACAGGGCTGGAAACGCTGGGAGTGGAACCAGTGATGTGCATTTTAACAAGCCCTCCAGGTAAAGCATGGACCGCAGGACCGAGTGGAGCCGTAAGAAGGAGAAAAGCTAACTGCTAACCAAGAGCACTTATTTGGGATGTTATAGGTTTGTTGTAAACTCTGTCTCTCAAGCCCAGCCTTTCCTGGGCAACACATGGGACTGACACAGAATGCCCTCTGAAGGCCACGGATATCTGGGAGCTAAAACCTTGACCTCTGCGGAGGGCAGGGGAGGGAGTTAATCAGCAGCTACACAGAGAGACTGGGACACTCAGCCCTGGAACAAGGATACAGAACTAGATCCTAATCCAGTGAGTCTCTCTTGCTTTCCTGGGGCGGGGACAGCGGGGACAGGGCCAGCTCTTGGTAACGAGGGGGAGTGGGGACAGAAAGTAAAAGCAGTGGAAGAGGAGGGATAATTCTCATGCCCCAACTTCACTCTTGCTCCTAGTTCTTTTTTTCCTTGAACTTCTATTCTGAGCTGCAGACGCTATTAAATTAGGTGACAAAACTCCCAGCGGACACGCTGATGACTATAACGGCAGCACAGGGAACATGGCCCCGGCCGCTGGCTCGAACCATCCCTAGGACTCACATATGAGCAGGTGGGGACTCACTCCCCTCTAGGGCTTAATAAGAACCGCATATTGTCCCTAAGCATAATGGGAGACTATCTACAGGGTATGTTACATGCAAGCCCACAACGTCCAGGAGAGCAGAGCTTCAGAATGCACTCTCCAAACATTTATTCAGTTGACATCAGAAACCTCTGCACTCCTTAATGCCTCAACACAACTTGGGGTGAGCCTGGAGGTGGCCACCAGGGCACTGAGGAAGGAGTCTCCAAAATTGGGTTGACTCAGGAAAGCTTGTGTGGCAGAGGCGGGCCACACACTGGGGGTGCAGAGGAACTTCTCCCACCCCAGACAGCAGGGACCAGGTGACACCGCATTCACTCTCTCTGGACAATCACCAAGCCGACAGGTCTAAAGCTCTTCACCACCGATGACGTCTCTTCTTTGGCAGACGTCGTAGACGTCCATGAAGCACCGTGCTCCACCGGCGGGTCCGCAGGCCCTCGAGTTGGGACGGTTTCGCCCTCCCTCCCAGCAGGCTGGGCACGGCCAAGGTGTCGGCGTGGCCGAGGCAGGTGACCAGAGCACCAGGCTGGGACGCTTTCGGGACTCCAGTCTGGCTTGTGTCCTCTAGCATGTGGTCTCCACCGGGTCAGCAAGTCCCCACCGACACGTGAGAGCAGGGCAGTGAGAAGGGGTGGGAGGTGGGAGGAGAGGCCCAGCGCAAGGCTCAGAAACGAGGGGAGAGGGCCGCGGTGGTCAGGGAGCCGCCAGGACGCCCAGGGGCAGCCCCAGACACAGGGGCAGGAGGAGGAAGCCTGCCGAGTACTGAGAAGAAGCCTGACTCATGTGATCAATGACCCAGTCCTTGTAGAAACTAACTTCTGTATAAACTCCAGGAAATTCTCTGCGACCACAGCCAATGCCCCAGCTCACAATCCCCACCTGGACCCAGGTCTTATTAAATTCACAGACCAGGGGCCCCCCAGAATCTCCCTGGAGAAAGAGAAAGAAACAAAGAGAGGAATGAAAGCGGATCAACCCCAGAACAGACTGGCTACACTGCAAGGCACTGGGGAGGTGGGCTCGCCTGGGCTTCCCCCAAGCTCCCGCCAAGCCCAGGTGTCTGAGAATGAGATTCGAAAGTTGAAAATTCTCAACAGACGAAATTTGCATACATATTCAAAAAATTATGTACAGAAAATATTGAATATAAACAAAGAAAATACACGTACCCTGAGATAATAATAACGAATAAAATCCTTACCCAAGTATATTGCCCATCACATAGAAGGGGTTCAAAAATGTGACCTATATTACTGGTATTTCCTGCCCGAATCTCTCCCCCTTCCCTGTCTCACTCGGGGCAGCATCATCTCCTCTCTGCTGAAGGACCGGGTCAGGCCAGCTGGCAGAACCTTGACAGCTTGTCCTTTGAATCCCCTTAATTTGAATAAAGAGCGAATGGAGGGAGTGGCAGATGATGCATAAGCAAGATGATCCCCTACCAGTGGATGAAGAACCTCTGAGGTGACAAGCGACATGCAGAGGTGGCAAAGGCCCGTGAACTGACCTGGCAGGAGTCCTTTCCTAGGGCATTGTAACCACAGACGGTCCCTTTCTTGACCATGTTAGCCTCACTCCTCAACTTCTTCTTGATTATCTCATTACACTTCTCATGGCGAATGATGCTTTGTTCGGCCTCCTGAAGCAGTTCTGGAGCTGCGTCTTTAGAATCTGTAAAGATAATTTCGGAGTGGGTGGGTCTGCTTAGTGGGCCCGGACGGAGGCCCCTGGCACCCGCTCTGGATCTCAAAGGTGTGTTCGTATACAGACACCCTCTCCGCAGTGGATACTGTCCCCACCTAACACTGGAGGAAACGAGGTCCAAAGCTGACGTGGGGAGAGGAGGAGGTAAGAATCAAAGCCAGGACAGGAGAAAGAAGAACAGGTCAGGACAGGGAGCGGTGAGCCCTGATCGGCCTGAGAAATCAAAGCCAAGTATCTGTCACTCTGCGTAGTATTAATAATAGTGACAGGTGTCCTATATATCAGTAAGGTGTCTTTAGAGCAGGACCACAGACTCTCGGACAGAAAGTGCCCCAAAGGTACTAAATCCAGCCTCTCCCCCATGGGGATAGGAAGCTTTACAGTTTCACCGAGAGGCGTGTTTGTTCCCTGGCCCCTTCTCACTCACAGAAATCTCCTCATCCACCAACGCAAGTCCTTCTAGTTTAGGACAGCTCAGATTAGCAGGCAGATCGATACCCCCATGAGCTAAAATCCACCCTAGAAAGAACCCCCTTGCTTGTCACCCAAGCCCCTGGGTCCTGACATGCTAATAGAAATGTGCAACACCATTAAATTACTTCCTAGCCGCATCTCCGCCACCCTCCTCCCTTACTCACTTGCTGGCAAACTGCCTCCCTGTCTCTTTAGCAGCCTCTCCCGAGCCCGAGTCTGTTACCGTCTGGCTTCGCCGTCTCACCTTTTTCGTGTAATTTTCCCCATCCGGTCACCCAGCACTCTGTACCAGCTTGCACCATGAAAGCCTTTTCTGGGAAGCACACGGGCTGGATGTGTGAGGTGTAATTCACAGGGAACTCGAGCAGAGCCAAAGCAATGTCATTTTCGATCGTTCCAAAAGGCTTATAATCTTCGTGGATCACGATATCTATAATCGGGACCTTGAGTGCCGTCCAGGAGGTATGCCTCATGTGTATGTCTCCAATCTTCGCCGTGTAGTCCAGATGGCTGCAGAGAGATCCTCGAGGGTCTACGCTCCCCTTCCGCGTGCTCCAGCTTCTTCCCAGCCTGTTCCCATCTCCAATGCCAGCCATAGGCCGCTTGCCTCCCTCCAAACCACATCCCTTCCCCCGGACCCCGGGCCACTCTATCCAGTGGTTCTCGAAGTTTAGTCCCCAGATGAGCAGCATCAGTTGTATCACCTAGGAACTTGTGAGAAGTGCAAATTCTTGGGTCTTACTCCTGACCTATTGAATCGGAAACTCTGGGAGTCGGGGACAGGCGACCTGTGTTTTAACGAGCTCTCCAGGTATTCCTAGGCTTAGTAAAGTTTGAGCCATTGATTTAGCCAAGTTACTACACTCACGCCCCTTAATTAGTCTTCCTTCAAAGCCTTTGTTCGTACACTGTCTCCCAACTGTCACCTCTCCCCTTTCCTGCCGCTCGATGAAGGCTCATCATCCCAGGTGGCTGTGAACCCGATTTTGGATTTGACTTTCCAGGCTACCAAGGGCCCTAACATCACCTACCTCTGACTACAACCTGAAGAAGAGGGACCGTGACCCCCTTTTCCTGATGAGGAAGACAGAGCTCCGGGAAGGGGACAGGACTGGTTCCAGGCCAGGGGCCCAAGCCCCCAGTCTGGAACACTCACCCATATATGCAGTGGGCGGCCGTCAGCACCCAGCGGCTGGCAACGAGGGAGCCTCCGCACACGTGTTCATCGTCGACCCGCAGGCTCACCTGCCAGGGCCACTTCTTTTGTGAAGCCGGCCTTCCACCAACTATCCTCATACTCCGATGGCCACACCCTGGAGCGGGTCAGTGAAGGGAGGGGGCTGAGAGAGCGCAGCCCTCACACCGCCACCGCCACCGCCACCGCCAGAGCCAGGTGGACCCGATGCTCAGAACCATCGGTGCCAGGCCGTGGCGCCTCAGGGCCCCAGAGCCGGGCTGTTTTCCGGAAGATTCCTCAGAGAATAGCCATGTCTGCTCAGAGTTCAGGGGCGGGGTTGGGTCCGCTCAGAACCCCGGCCCCAGTCATATCGTGTGCCCCCGAGACCCTCCCCGCCCCAGGCGGGGTCCCAGCCCCTTCCTACCTGGCCGGTTCTCCGGGGCAGGCCTTATGGTTTGTGCTGGTGCCTGTGAAACTGCCAGAGTCTTGTGGGAATCAGAGTCAGCAGGAGGCAACGCCACCAAACCGGGGGTTACCACAGCCACGCGGGATTCGGGGGCCTCAGAGGACCCCGGAACCCCTACAGGTGGCGGCTTCCACAG